TTGACATTTGCAATATATCTTGCCTTTTACTCCCATACAAATCTCAAAATATTTGGAATATTTCCAATATTCCACAAGTTAATTGTAGAACAATAATTGTTTTTTATGATTCCTGTAAATATTATTGCATTTGCAGTACCTTAATAATAAATGATGTGGTTCATGAAGTAAGTCAATAACTTTCTTCCAAGATATTCATATATCACTGCACTAGTGATCTAGTGCAGTTAGCCTCTCAAAAACACTGTTTTCACTTACCCAGGACCAAAGAACACATTAACCCTTTGACTGTTTTGGTCATATATATACGTCTCATTAGCCACCGTGTTTGACGTATATATACTCATAAATTCTAGCGGCTTCAAATCAAGTAAGGGAAAGCTGGTAGGCCCACATGTGAGAGAATGGGTCTGTGTGGTGTGTGGTCAGTGTGCACCATATAAAAAAAATCCTGGAGCACGCAGTGCATAATGAGAAAAAAAAACTCCGACCATTTTTTTTAATTAAAATGCTGACTTTGTGGTCTATTTTTGTATAGTATTTATGATTGTATTCTCGTTTTCTTGGTCTCATTTGATAGAATGGAAAACATAATATAGAAACAGCGGTGATTTTGATTGGTTTTACTATAAAAAGAACCTGGAAATGGAGCTCAAAGTAGGGGATATGTTTGATTTTTGCCGACGTTCAAAAGTAAACAATTTATGTCATTGTCCAATAAATGTCCAACTAGCCATTCTAATATGCAGTCATGAATGGGTTGACATTATCTGTACAATTATTACAGTAGTCTGCATAACAGTAAATCTTCTATTTTTTGTTTGAATAAAAATTCAAAACAGAAAGGAAGAGTAATATCAGAGGGGCCTGGAGACGTGACAGATGAGCAAAGAAAATGTTATTTTAGAGCCAGGAATGTCTGCATTGTTCATTCTGGACCTTATTTTGAAATTGTCACATTTTTTAATTTTTGTGAAATTGGCCAAATTGCAAATTTCTGACCACTTTATTCGGTAGTTGAAATCAGTAAATGGGCAGTTTCTTGTACTCAACTGATAGAAAAATGGAGTTCTAAAGAAATAGCTATGAGTTTGGTTGACTGGAACAATGGAATTAGCCGAAAATAGGGCTCAAAGTGGGCAAAATCGCCGAGGTTGCTAACTTCACGAGAGCGTAATTCTGTCAGTTTTCCATCAAATTTTGTTCTTTTGGTGTCATTACAGTCGGGAAAAGATTCTCTATCATTTTATAAGAAAAAATAATTTTTTTTTGAAATTTTGCGACACCAGGAGACACCTCAGGATTGGGGGTTGCGACAATCAAGGGGTTAATAGGAAGGAGCAGTAATGATTTTATATGCTTGGACTGGTCCTGGACACTCATCATATTATGGACTATTTTATTCATTCTAGAGTATACATCATATTTCTATGTTACTTATACAGTGGACCCCTGGTTATCGACTGGTTCTGTTAACGGCCAACTCGGTGAATGGCCGGTTTTTCGGCGCCTGGTTATCAGCCGTTAATTCAGTGATCAGTCGTTTGGGACACATCCGTCTGCCGGCTGGGGTCGCTTGCACATCAGTTTGGCTGTATCTCTCGGTGGCTGAGGAAACTTCTGTTCATACATCAAAACATTCTGCTTATTTCCCATTGTAGTTTGTGTTACTTTTGCAGTGCAACTGTGAAATAAGTAACCATGGATCCAAAGAAAGTCCCTTTGGTAAATAAAGTGAGAAATACCATGGAATTTAAGCATGAAGTGATAGAAAAGTCTGAGACTGGTATGAGGGTGGTGGAACTTGCCAGGATGTACAGCAAGAATAAATCAACAATTACATCCATCCTGGCAAAGAAAGAACAAATCAAGGATGCTAATATTGCAAAAGGAGTAGCTTTTCTAACTAAACAAAGGCTACCAATAATGGAAGAGATGGAAAAGTTATTATTATTGTGGATTAAGGAAAAAGAATTAGTGGGAGACAGTGTTGTGGAGTTGATTATTTATGAGAAGGCAAGGCAGTTCATGATGATCTTGCAAAGGAAATGCCTGGAACAAGTGCTGCAGTTTGTGAATTTAGGGCCAGAAAAGGATGGTTTAATAGATTTAAGAAGCGTAGTAGCATACACAGTGTTGTAAGGCATGGTGAGGCTGCAAGTTCTGAAAAATGTGCGGCTGAAAAATTTGTGCAGGAATTCCAGGGGTACACAGAGGCTGAAGGATTCAAACCCAAACAAGTGCTCATTTGTGACAAAACGGGCCTGTTTTGGAAGAAAATGCCAAACAGGACCTAATTACCCAGGAGGAAAAGGCACTGCCAGGACACACGCTTTTTGTGTGGTAATGCTAGTGGGGATTTCAAAGCGAAGCCTTTACTCCTGTATCGCTCAGAAAATCCCAGTGTTTTCAAGAAAAACAATGTCATGAAGGATAGTGTGTGTGTAATGTGGAAAGCTAATCATAAGGTATGGGTCAAAAGGCAAATTTTCAAAGAGTGGGTTAATGATGCATTTGGCCCAAGTGTGAAAAAATACCTCCTGGAAAAGAAATTGCCACTCAAGTGCCTCCTGGTACTGGACAATACTCCTGCACATCCTCCAGACTTGGAAGACCATGTGCTTAGGGACTTCAATTTTATAAAAGTGAAGTTCTTGCCTCCTAACACCACTCCTCTCCTCCAGCCCATGGACCAGCAGGTCATTTCTAACTTCAAAAAACTTGACACAAAAGCAGTGTTTCAAAAGTGCTTTGAAGCGACCTCGGACACTCAATTAACTCTGGGAGAGTTCTGGAGGAATCGCCTCGCTATCCTCCACTGCATAAGCCTTATAGGTAAGGCTTGGAAGGGAGTGACTTCCAGGACTTTGAACTCTGCTTGGAAAAAACTGTGGCCAGATTGTGTCCAAGAGAGAAATTTTGAAGGGTTTGAGGCTGACCCTGATCCTGCAGACTCTTTTGTGGCACTGGCGAAATTCCTGGGGTTGGAGACGAGTGGCAAGGATGTGGAAGAGTTCGTGGAGGATCAAAGGGAAGAGCTAACCACTGAAGAGCTCCAAGAGCTTCAACTTGAACAGGAACAGACTGCAGCTGAGAAACTTGCTTCAGAGGTGCCTTCTTCACTGATTAAGAACATTTGTGCAAAGTGGAATGATGTGCAAAGTTTTGTCGAGAAGTACCATCCTGACAAAGCTGAAACAAGTCATATCTGCAACATGTTTAGTGACAAAACCCTATCCCACTTCAGGGAAATCTTAAAGAGACACCAGAAACAGAGCACTCTGGACAGTTATTTTGCGAGACAAGGGTCCAGTGACTCTTAAGCTGGTCCTAGTGGCATTAAAAGACAAAGAATGGAAGTAACCCCAGAGAAGGCTTTGCTACCTAAAGTCTTTATGAAGAGGTATTCCCCTTCCAAACACTAACTCCTCCCTCTTTCCTTCTGCCAGAAGCCAGCATTAGCCTTCAGTAAAGGTATGTAATATTTATATAATTGTTAAAAAAAATAATAATTTTTTGTGAATTTTTGTCTGGAACGGATTAATTGTATTTACATTAATTCTTATGGGAAATATTATTTCGGTTTTCGGCTGACCTTCTGGAACGGATTAGGCCGATAACTGAGGGTCCACTGCAGTGTTTAATATGTCATATTAGATAATTCTGATAGATAAATAAGCCATAGAGTTGATATTAGCATTATACTGAAGTATTTTCTCCTGCCCCTGGGGTGATTTTTTTGGGACTGGAATGGATTAATGGCATTTCAGTTAATTTCAAGGAGGAAAATTTATTTGATATACGAACAATTGAGTTACGAATTCCGTCACAGAACGAATTAAACTCGTAAGTCAAGGTACCACTGTAAATTAAACCCAGCCTACAGCACCATTTGACAGTGGCATTACATCATTTTTTTTTTTTAACACGCTGGCCGTCTCCCACAGAGGAAGGGTGACCCAAAAACAAAGAAAATACTAATCATCGTCATTCAACACTCTCACTTCACTCATACATAATCACTGTCTTTGCAGAGGTGCTCAGATACGACAGTTCAGAAGTCCTTCCAAACTACCAATATCCCAAACCCCTCCTTTAAAGTGCAGGCATTGTACTTCCTGTTTCCAGGACTCAAGTCCAGCTAACCGGTTTCCCTGAATCCCTTCACAAAATTTTACCCTGCTCACACTCCAACAGCTCGTCAGGTCCCAAATCCATTCATCTCCATTCACTCCTATCTAACATGCTCATGCATGCTTGCTGGAAATCCAAGCCCCTCACCCACAAAACCTCCTTTACCCCCTCCCTCCAACCTTTTTGAGGATGACCCCTACCCCGCCTTCCTTCCCCTACAGATTTATACGCTTTCCATGTCATTCTACTTTGATCCATTCTCTCTAAATGACCAAACCACCTCAACAACTCCTCTTCAGCCCTCTGACTAATACCTTTAATAACTCCACATCTCCTCCTAATTTCGACACTCGGAATTCTCTGCATAATATTTACACCACATAATGCCCTTAGACAGGACATCTCCAATGCCTCCAGCCACCTCCTTGCTGCAGCACTTGCAACCCAAGCTTCACACCCATACAAGAGTGTTGGTACCACTTTACTTTCGTACGTTTCCTTCTTTGCCTCCATGGATAAAGTTTTTTGTCTCCACAGATACCTCAACGTACCACTCACCTTTTTTCCTTCATGAATTCAATGGTTAATCTCATCCTTCATGAAAGATGAGGTTACATCACTTATAATTATAAATTAGGCAAACTGATCTAGGTCCTAAGTTACTGTTAACTGATTGATAGCTATTTTATGTGCAGCACCCCTAAAAAATTAACTAACCTATGCGCTTTACCCATGATTTTTATTTTAGATGGAATATCAATGAATTCAATTTTCTTTGCTTCTACAAATGCTAGTTAATTTCCTTCCCATACACTGTAGTGTCGCAACTTGTACTTTCAATAATGAAAATATAAACTATAACTGACCTCTAATTGAAGTTTGAGCTGCTGAACCTCTTCATCACGATTTCCGTTGTCACTTTTTGTTGTGGCATTTTCACTGTTGTTAGCTTTAGCATTCATCTTTAACTCAAGTTGCTGCAGGTTTTCTTCAGCTTCCCGCAACTTTTCCATGTCCTGTATACAAAGTTATTTTTATTAATGTAGGATAAATTTTGTTCAGTAACAATAATAAAGTCCCTAACTTAGAAACATAAGAGTTGTGGTGAATTTTACTTACCAATTGGACATCCTGAAACTAATCAATTTCTTATGAATGTCAATCTGCAAAGGCAAACATTCAAACAGAAATTATTTTCTAGAAACTATTTTTTGTCTGCATCTATTATCAAATATGTTGATATTTTATACACACTGTACTCATTTTCAGCCTGAGTGGAGGATTATATTTTTGAAGATAACAGACATGAACTACAGACGTAATTATTTACTACAATTTTGATGGATCAAATTCTAGATACAATACTATCTTTTCTGTTATTTTTATCATCATTAACATTGATATTAACCCTCTGAGGGTCCAGACCCCCAATCAAAAAATTTTCTTGTGAAATGGTAGACAATCTTTTTCTGAAGGTAAAAAAAACAAAAGGTATGTAATTTGATAAAGAAGTGACGAAATTACGCTCCAGCGAATTTTGCTGTCAGTGATATTTATGCATCAGCGATTTTGCACACTTTCAACATAAACAAAACATACTTCATGCTGTTTGGAAACAGAACCCTATACCACTCTTTAATATATCCCTACCTCACCTATGTTATTTGTACCTGGGGATCAACCACAGCCAACCATCTTAAACCTTTAATTACCCAACAAATAGCTGCTGTGCAGATGATTACCAGTTCCTGTGTCAGACAGCACACCCCACCACTTTTCAAAAGCCTGAACCTACTAAATATACGAGAGACACTCATATTATTGTGCCTACTGCATATACAAAACATTAAACTCCAATATAAACCCTCCACTTAAACTTCTCCTTGATAGCTACAACAGAATGCACAGTCACAATACAAAGCACAAGGCACTCTAAGCACACTAAACAAAGATGCAATGCACATAAAGAGCCCCAAGATCTGGAATTCACTACCTTAACCGGTAAAGGATCCCCTGACTACATATAAATTTAGGACTGCTTAAAAATCATCTCATCTCTCAATACTAACCAAACCAACCAAAACAACTTCTAAACAGTTTGAAGCAACTCTCCCAAATATTATATGACCTCTAGTCTATTAAACATCTGCCAATCCATGAAATATTACTGTCTGAACCATTAATTGTAATACTGTTTTCATTATGTGCAACTTCAAGATTATTATTCGTATATACCTCCATCTTGACTACCTCACATTAGTATTAAGATTAAATAAAGATTTATTAAAAAGTTAACCACTCTTATCTTGTCTAGATTTTAGTAGTCATTATGCATTAGGATTAGTCTGTCAAAATGCCCCAGCATGATAGTGGCTTTCTTTGTACTTAAACCAAAACTGTAATTACACATTGTAACCTTTACAAAGAAATAAAATCTTTATTCTATTTTTGGCCAATTACATTGTTCAATTAGACCAAATTTTTAGCTATTTCGTTAGCATGTGTTCTATTTTATTTATTGAGCACAACAAATTGTTCAATCAGTTATTTCAACTACCCAATAGTGATTGGAACTCGGTAATTTGGTCAAGTTCAAAGTTCAAAATATATTTCAAAGTAGGGTCCAGAATAAACAATGTAGGCATTCCTGGCAGGAGTGTGCACACATCACAGCAGCAGCAAGTTTCCTGCTCCTCTATTTTCCTTCCACCAGAGGTTCCTAACAACACTGTGATGGCCTAGTAAGGACCCACGTAACACTAAGATACGTGGATACCCAGAATGACATAATTCAGCTGCAGAAATTACCTAAAATACGATATATATCCAACTGAAGACTTGTGTTACCTCCATCTACCCTGCTGCCAGGCACAAGGAAACATTCCAGCACCTGCAAACTACCCATCGTCTACAATTCATCTGAAACCACAGTCAATGGCCAGGGGTCTGGGCAACAAGAGAAGGTCCAGTATTCAACCGAGGACTTATAGCACCACAGGTGAGAGAAGCAATACTATAAGGAAAACTTCTACTGCCAGCCAGGACACAACCCTCACCACCCACCGGCACCACCATAACACTTGTCTGACAACAATAACAAACATGGCCGCTGCCACAAACATCCAAGATAACTCCTTCCCTGGACTTGAGGATTTGCACATTGAAGACCCAGAAATAGCTGCAATCATCAGGAGGCAAAGTCAGAAAATCAACATGTTAACCCGGGAAATGGAAGAGCTTAAGAAGTTCAATGATATGTTAACCCAGGAAATTGAAGACTTAAAAACCAACAACACGCAGAACATGGACAAAATTACAACTCTAGAACATAAACAAAATGTGCTTGACTAACTCAGCAAAACCCACACCAAGTCTGAGGAATCCATCAACCTCCTCAAAGATCAAGTTGTGCAACTGAACATCAACATCAAGAGTGAAAGAGAAAGAGAAGACTTACAACTTACCGAAGTCATGAAGAGTTTCCATGACCACTTAGACCAACAACAACTGTCTGACTCAGTCATAGTGAATAGCAAACATCTACCATCAACTATAGCTCAGGAAACATGTAAACAAACCACATTAAAACTGATCCTAGACATCTTCATCTCAACATACCAAGTGATATCATAAATAAGTGTAAAGTGATAGGCTATCAACCTGGAAAGAAATCAGTATACAGTGGACCCTTGGCTAATGATATTAATCAGTTCCTGAGAGCTCATCGTTAGATGAAATTATCGGTAGCTGAATTAATTTTCCCTATAAGAGATAATGGAAATCAAATTAATCCATTCCTGACACCCCAACGTATGAAAAAAAAAATTTTTACCACGTGAAATATACATTTTCCTACACACAAAAAGAAGAAGACATGCACAATTACTACTGTACTAAATAAAGAATACATGACACTTAACTTTATTGAAGATCTGGTGATGATTGATGGGATGGGAGAAGGGGAGATGGTGGAAGTTGTTATCGTTTGGAAGGGGAATCCCCTTCCATGAGGACTTCAGGTAGCAAGTCCTTTTCTGGGGTTACTTTCCTCCTTCTTTTAATGCCACTAGGACCAGCTTCAAAGTCACTGGACCTCTGTCGCACATAAATCTGTCCATAGAGCTCTGTACCTCACATTCCTTTAACTCTTTGAGGGTTGCCAGGCCCTCTCAGAGACTTGTTCTCAGGCTCGCCAAAATTTAAAAAAAGAAAAAAAAAAATTTTTTCTTATGAAAAGATAGAGAATCTTTTCCCGATCATAATGACACCAAAAGTATGAAATTTGATGGAAAACTTACGGAATTATGCCCTCACGAAGTTAGCGGTTTCAACGATGTTTACGCATCGGTGATTTTGCCCACTTTGAGCCCTATTTTTGGCCAATTCCAGTGTACTAGTCGACAAAACTCACAGCTATTTTGCTGGAACTCCATTTTTTCTATCGAATGAGTACAAGAAACCACCCATTTACCGATTTCAACTATTCAATAAAGTGGTCAGAATTTAGCAATTTTGCCAATTTCACACAAATTTCAAAAGATGCCAATTTCCAAATAGGGTCCAGAATAAACAAGAAAGACATTCCTGGCACTAAAATAACATTTCCTCTGTTGATTAGTCACATCCCCAGGCCCCTCTTACATTTCTTTTGCTTTCCACTTTGATTTTTTATTCTCACAAAAAAATAAGATTTACTGTTATGCAGACTACTGCATTAGTGTAGAAATGGTATAAATAATATCAGTGCACTTGTGAAAGAATATTAGACTCACCAGTTGACGTGTATTGGACGCTTAGCATGATCTGTTTACTTTTGAGCTTTAATTGAACCGTTTCTGCTACTTTGAGCTCAATTTCAAGGGTACTTTTCATTGTAAAACCTGTCAAAATCATCTCAATTTCTGTAATATGTCTTCCATTCTATACAATGAGACCAGGAAAACTAGAATACAACAATAAATACCATACGAAAATGCAGTGCAAAGTCGCTGTTTTAAACCAAAAACACGGTCAAAGTTTTTTTTTTTTCTCATTACACACACTGTGCTGCAGGATTTTTTTTATACTACGCACACTGACCACAGACCCATTCTTTCATATGTAGGCCTACCAGCTTTCTCTTGCCAGATTTGAGGGCGCTAGAATTTATGCGTACTAGTACGTCAAAAACCCTGGTGCGTAAGCCGTACTAGTACAGTGGACCCCCGCATACCGGACGCTTTGATCGCAAAAATTTTGCCTCGCATACCGCCCAAAAACCCGCTCACCGCCCTTCGTCCGAGACGCGTCCAATGTGCAGCCTGAGCCACGCTCACATGTTCCGCCGGTGGCATTGTTTACCAGCCAGCCTCCGCGGTAACATCCAAGCATACAATCGGAACATTTCGTATTATTACAGTGTTTTTGCTGATTTTTTCTGGAAAATAAGTGACCATGGGCCCCAAGAAGGCTTCTAGTGCCAACCCTACAGCAATAAGGGTGAGAATTACTATGGAGATGAAGAAAAAGATCATTGATAAGTATGAAAGTGGAGTGCGTGTCTCCGAGCTGGCCAGGTTGTATAATAAACCCCAATCAACCATCGCTACTATTGGTGGTACAGCTGCTGCTGTACCACCGTCAGCTGCTGCTGCTGTAGCATCGTCTGCTGCTGCTGTAGCATCGTCTGCTGCTGCTGTAGCATCGTCTGCTGCTGCTGTAGCATCGTCTGCTGCTGCTGTAGCATCGTCTGCTGCTGCTGTAGCATCGTCTGCTGCTGCTGTAGCATCGTCTGCTGCTGCTGTAGCATCGTCTGCTGCTGCTGTAGCATCGTCTGCTGCTGCTGTAGCATCGTCTGCTGCTGCTGTAGCATCGTCTGCTGCTGCTGTAGCATCGTCTGCTGCTGCTGTAGCATCGTCTGCTGCTGCTGTAGCATCGTCTGCTGCTGCTGTAGCATCGTCTGCTGCTGCTGTAGCATCGTCTGCTGCTGCTGTAGCATCGTCTGCTGCTGCTGTAGCATCGTCTGCTGCTGCTGTAG